GTATTAAATTTGAATTCAATGATATAATATCATTGTATAAGAAAAACGATTCTGAGCGGTGACGGTATGTCAGTCTATGTATAAGACATATTATATACATATCTATGGTATTAAACAAAAAATTGACCTATAATAGGTACCTATAATAAATTACAAACTAATCATATCACAATATCCATTAGATACTTATAACGCGTTATACATCAACAAAAACCGTGATACTATCATAGATATATAATAGTACACTTTAGAAGTTTCAAGTACCCACGAATAATATTATTCAATCAAAACAAAATAACTAAAATCGTAATTCTTGGTTTAAATATGAAATTTTGTCTAAATTTGAAATTAAAATGTCTGTAAAAAATAAGTGTGTTTATATATTTATTAGATTTTTTGGTTACAGTATGAATTATTTAAGAGAATCTTTGTTTTAAATGTTCAACTCTTAGTTATAAAAACTGAACATTTTATAATTTTTTAATTCCAACGATTGATAATTTTCGAGATTTTGATAAATTTTGTCAAAATTCCAACTTTAAATGCTTATAAAAAAAAATCGTGCCTATGTATTTTTAATATTTTTCAACTGCTACTGTAACAATATATCAGGAGCCTTGTATTACATTTTTACACTTTTTGGCCCAACAGATAAAACTTTATTGATATTTATAGAAAAAAAAACTAAAAAAAATTGAAAGCTGTAAATGTCCATAAACAGCTCAAAAAGAGTCAAAATATTTTCAAAATTGTATGGTGTATAGAAAATGCTAATTTAAACATTCAGTGAAATTTTCATGTATCTACAGTTGTTCGTTTTTGAATTGCAACAAAATAAGGAAATCGCTACATGAGTAATCGAGTGAAAATCCAATGTTGTAAAAATTTGAATTTCAAATGCTCATAAAAATTTAATTTGACTGTCCGGTAGAGATTTTTTTATTGATAAAGGTAGATAATCTTATAAGGAATCTTGTGTTTCATTTTCAAATCTTAGATTTAAAAAGAAAAATTTTTATGAATTCTTAACTCAAAATAATTTGCTAATTTTCGTGATTTTTCCATATTTTGTCAATTTTTGAACTTTAAATGCTTATAAAAAAAAATTGTGACTAAGGATTTTTAATATTTTTCATCTGCCTTTGAAACAACATATTAGGAGCCTTCTATTAAATTTTCAAGCTTTCGCAACCAATAAATAACATTTTATTGATATTTTTAGAAAAAAAACTAAAAAAAAATGGAAAATGAAAATGTCCCTAAACAGTTCAAAATAAATCAAAATATTTTGAAAATGTTATCGTGTATAGAAAATGCAAATATAAACAACCAGTGAAAATTTCATGTATATACGTTCATTTGTTTTAGAGTTACACCAATAACCAAAATCGATTTTTTGGAAAACCAATTTTGCGTAAAAATTCCCGTTTTTCCTTAATTTGTATGTTGTTTTTCCCGGCGCTTGTGAAAACTACTGTGAAATTTATACTTTTGACCCCCCAAAGTACCAACTAGATTCACTTTCCTACCAGAAAAGCTACTGATGAAGAAAATCCAAGCATTTTTACTGTCCTAAAACGTGATGACAGACACAAAAATATAAATAAAAATATAAAAAAAAAGGTGGGCAAGTGGGTGTCGCTCTGCTGTACAGTAGGTTACAAGTGGGTCATTGTATAAGGGATGGTATTAAATTTGAATTCAATGATATAATATCATTGTATAAGAAAAACGATTCTGAGCGGAGACGGTATGTCCTTCTAGGTATAAGACATATTATATACATATCTATGGTATTAAAAAATTTACCTATAACAAATTCCAAATTAATCATATCACAATATCCATTAGGTACTTATAACGCGTTATACACCAACAACAAACCCTGATACTATCATAGATATATATAGTAGATTACTTTAGAAATTTCAAGTACCCACGAATAATATTATACAATCAATTATAAATGCAAATATAAACAACCAGTGAAAATTTCATGTATATACGTTCATTTGTTTTAGAGTTACACCAATAACCAAAATCGATTTTTTGGAAAACCAATTTTGCGTAAAAATTCCCGTTTTTCCTTAATTTTTATGTTGTTTTTCCCGGCGCTTGTGAAAACTACTGGGAAATTTATACTTTTGACCCCCCAAAGTACCAACTAGATTCACTTTCCTATCAGAAAAGCTACTGATGAAGAAAATCCAAGCACTTTTACTGTCCTAAAACGTGATGACAGACACAAAAAAAAATAAAAAAAATAAAAAAACACACATCATTGTAAAATCAATACATTCATCGTTTCACTCAGAATCTAAAACATACATCATTGTAAAACCAATACATTCATCGCTCCGCTCAGAATCTAAAATTAGCCTGCTTAAATTTTGAAGCCTTTATATTATAAAATAAATGTACCTATGTCACTAGTTATTACAGAATGCATTTCGGTACCTACCTATTGATGAAAACGCAATAGGCTACACTTTACAGTTTAGACGATCATGAAAAATTATTGTAAAATTACACTCAACTTTCATTTTAAATTCTATATGAAAACAACTTATGAAGATCTTTGTTTTAAATCTTATATAATATGAATATTAACATTTTTTAATTTTATTACATTTTAAGCTACAAAATAATTTTCGAATTTCTGCAAATGCTTATAAAAAAGTTCAAAAAACACTGAGAATTTTCCATTTTGACCTCTCAAAAGTACTAATTAGATTCAATTTGGTATCAGAAATCACCCTAAAAGTTGAAAATCAAATCGTTTTTTCTACAACTTTTCAAATTTTCGTGTATAGGTACCAACAAAAAAATACAAACATTGTAAAATCAATACATTCAATCGCAGCGCTTAGAATCTAAACCCGGATAACTAGCTCTGCTGTATAACAGATTTGAGTAGATCACTGTACCTAATAGATGTGTTAAATACTTAAAATTAAATAGAAAATTGTTATAGGTAACTATATGAAAAAAACTTATGAGCGGAGACAATGTGTCAACTGGAGGCCTTCCATTATTTAGTATACATAGCTACTTTATAATTTATATTCCTAAAAAATACTACCTAACGGCTAACCACTTAATTTATACCTTCATCATAATACTGAAGTACATTATATACTGATTAATGACGTCTCACTTAATTTACTTGGAGTCCCTTATAGAAGGATGTGAACATGTAAACATATTCATGTTATAACTTATAAATTGTGCGTAATTTTATAAGACTGGCATTATTCAAAATGTCAAGTAAAAATTATAAAATTTAATTATACCTATATACGGTATTATGGTAATACAATATAGTGTAGCTAATATAATGTAGTTACTACATAATATACAAATGAACCACAGACAAAGTACAAAAAATTAAAACAATAATATTACAGACGTTCATTAAATAAATAGTAAAATACAATTTTAAATTAAGTTTTAGTTGAAGTAGCGTTACTCGACACTTGACGCCCCTTTTATTCCAGCTGTTAAGCCGTAGCTTTTTTTAAATATAATATTAATAATGTATTTGTTATTATACAGAATGTAAATATTCAATTTCATAATGAAAATAAATTATTGATTTTTTTAATAAATTCCCAAAAACTAAATATGCATAAATATGCAAGCTTGATAATTGAGTACAAGGTTCCTCATATCCAAGTTGTTCTTAGGGCAATATTAAAAAAAAATATAGAAAATACGTGATCTCTATTTTGAGTTTTTTCAACATTCTTCAAAATCACAAACATTTGGAAATGATACTTAAAAATATAGTTAATAAAAGTAAATATGTAAATTATATGTATGCTAAAATATATCTATAAACTATAAAATCAATTTTTCCTCACTAAATTTCGAAAGTAACTAGTAAGCATTTAAAATATCAGCAATGCAATTTGTACTGTTTGTAATAGTAAAGGTTAGTGAACACTGAACAGTAACTAGTAATATAGTATAGAATATGGGATAAAGTAACCACTAATAAGTGACAATAGTAAATAGTATAATTATAGTATATTGTATATAAATACAAAATACATAAATATCCAATACTTTCTCAGTACCTACTCTCGCGGTCTTGCGCCACCACTGTAATATTTTTTAAGTGTTGAATTTATCTTATTATTTCTAGCATCTAAATTGACAAAATGAAACATCAATATTAGATCAAATTAACCATAAAGAAGACAATGACTGAATACATAATACAACATAGCATATACTAAGTGGATACAATTTTACATGGCAGAATTTTACAAAATAAAAAATAATAATTTAGATAGTATGAAACTATGAATTCAACTGAAATAATTATTAGACAATTCCCTTTAAAAAATTACAATTACTGTGCAGATTTAAAATACCATTTGTATACATAGGTTTTGTTGTTCAGGTAATATGTTTATTTCTTTAATAAAATAATAATTTAATAAAAAAAAAAATATATAATAATAATAATAATTCACAACTTAAGTAACAGATACACAAACTTGTCACATAAAGTTGCAATGGGTGTACACGTGTTCAATAAATAAAAATTAATAAAGCATATTTTTTTTTTATCAACTCAAGGTCTTTTAAGAATACATTGCATTGGTATATACTTAAAATATATTGTATAATAATACATATTTAGTGTATATTCTAATATCTACTTATTTATTTATTAAAAGGTAGGTGGTACAAAATACAAGAAAAAACATTGATGTCACTCTTAACAATAATATAACCTTAATTTATACAAGTCTATAGCACAGAAAATACTATTTTGTTTATAACTAAAAACATATAAGGTAAAATAATATTTATGTTCTTTTAAGTCTTATATTCTAATGAGAAGGAAGTTAGGTAGATTGGTTTTATCAATAATGTGGACATTGTCTAGTTTGGAAATACGGGGCACACACACACTCACACATAATCAAACATAGACACATACTAACACATACAAACACCAATGTATAATATATTATTGTATTACACATCTAATTGTGACTTTGTGGGTGATACGTCTGTTGGGATTCTTCTAGCCAATGTGTTTTGTTCTGCCGTACCCCTTCAATCAATGGTTCAAGTTTCTCTGACAGATCAGCAATTGCCTGTCAATGAAGAATAAAGTTATACTTAATTAAAAATGTATAATAAATAAGCAAATTTCTATTATTTATTTATCTAATACCGCCAAGTCATTTACTGACAACATTTTTTATTTTATTAAATTCATCAAAATCTTATGGATTTTTTAAATTTAGATATTGAAAATTGAAATACATAAGAAAAACCAATAATTAAACTCACCTGATATATGGGTAAACAAATTGAGTCAATGAATCCAACTTGCATCATTGGTAGCTGATCTTCTTTTTCACGATTCATTATGTCCTAATACAACAAAATTACATTTTAATATTGTATGTGTAACAAATTACATTTTAAGTAAAATGTAAGAAACAATTTTTACTCACAATAGGCGTGATATTAAATTTTCTTCTTTCTATGTCACCTTGTTCGAAAAATTCATTAGTCACCAATTCAGCCACCTAAACATAACAAATAATTTACAATATTTGATAATGCATCACTAATACGTAGTAGGATAATCAATAGGTATGTCATTAGGTAAGTGTCATCAATAGGTAAGTATATAATTATAGGTTATAAATACTAGTGTAGTAGTGTAGCACATACTCGTTTTTCAATCTCCCATGGTTTGGTTATGGCAGCCAAGTCACACACAGTCATTAACATGGCTCTAAACAGTTCTCTATCTTCTTCTCTGGTCCAGTCGTACATACCGGTACGGACTAGTTCTAGGAACTTCCCTCGTTTTCTATAAATAGTCAATTCAATATCGCATATTATTATCTGCCAAATATAAGTGTATAGTACAATACACTATTTAAATTATACAATATTGAGATACGCACTTGATGTAAATTATATTGTTTCAAAAACTACACCAAATATCATGTTTTAAGTTAAAATATTAGTATAATAAATAATAATTATGCGTTTGTTAAATATAAATTTATCATGTTCAGCTAACAATTGTATTAAAATAATTTAATAACATCTAACCTGAAGTATACAGCTAAATCAGTGGCTAATATAGCATCTTCTAATACTTTTATAACGCGAGAATACTCATTTGGTGATAGATTACCTAAAATTTGATTACCCTAAAAAAATTAATTTTCATATTAACAAAAAAACAATGAAAAAATATAAAAAGTCAATCGTCTCAATCACATACTTGACTATTTAATATCATTAAACACTGGTCAAAATGATGATGTTCCATGGTGGAAGTTGAGTAGAGTTGTGCAAGTGGCGAGGAAACTCTAAAAGTAAATAATAAAAATAAAAATAAAATCATACAATATAATTGACGATATATAGAAAAGAATATTTTATAGTCTTACTTTATTTGAAAGGAGTTGTTTGTCCCACGGTGGTCCAAATCATGGCAGAGACAAGCAATAATGAGGGCGAGACATTCCAAGTCACCAAAAACTTGCCACCAACGCGTTGCCTAGAACAAATATTTAATAAAATAATATAAAATACTTTATTTAAGTCTTAATAGTGTATATTACATACAGTAATAATAGAAAACATCATCTGAGCAACATTGAATGCATGCCTCCAATTGTGGTATGTTACTGATCGGTAGTTCTTTTTGACACTTAACAGCCATCGACACAAAACCTGATAGTCAATATGAAAAGGTTCAACTAAATCCATATCCATAAACATTCGTATGCTTGCCTGAAAATTAAAATAATTTTGAATGTTTATATTATCTACTGAGGAAAATAATAGTATGTAAACTAACTAGTAATGTGTCATCATCACTCATATAGATATCATCAAAAGAAAAATCATACAAATTGTATGTAACAGCCGATGGCACTTGCAAAGCCTAAAAACACAACAACATTAAAACACTCAGAATAAACGTTTATTGGATAAAATAGATTGATTTACCCTCAATTTTTGTGCGTCTTCCAGTGAAGCTGAAGCGTGGTAACTAAGCACATCCAACGTAACATTTTGTTTTGCATTGGCAATAATGGCTTTCTCGAACCTATAAATTAAACTACCGAGTAACAAACGTAAAATCCTAGTCATGGGCATAATAACATTATGCCAAGTGCATTTGGACTAGTGCACTTTTACTTACTTACATGTGTGTGTTATGTATTCCCATGCCACAGAATATGGCAAACGCTTCCACAAAGTTCTCATCGTTTTTGGTAAATAAGAGATCATCAAACTTGTTGACTAACTGCAACACAAACAATTTAGTGCTTAGTATAAATCGTTTATAAGCCACTATCGACTCATAAGATATACAAAAGTACGAATTTAGATACTTTTTAATGATATAAATGAAAAAATTAACCTGGAGTTAAGTTTTTTGAAAAATGTATATCGAGTTACGATTAAAGTTTAATAATAACTATACTATTATATAATAACTTTGTACTAAAATACAATTTCACAGTTGAATTCGACATAAATAACATAGTTTATTTACTTGTATCACTCCGATGATTTGACCTGACGAATTCTTGATCGGCATGCACAGCACGGTGGAGTGTTTGAAACCAGCGTCTTCGTCCACCGACTGATCGAAACGGCTGTCGTCGTAAGCGTTGGCAATGTTTACCGTCTGAAAACGATTGACGTTCGCGATGAGTAAGGACAGTTTGGTTTTTATAGATTTGTATTGTACGACCGTGGCCGTCGCTCGGTTTTATATTCGATTATTTACGTTTTATTTGTATCATAATAATATATTTAGTGACAATTTTGTTCGCATCCTCGGCAAGATACCTAATATAATATTAATATTATAATATAGTATACGGTTTCACGATTGCACAATGCACCAAGTCGGGTATGGGATATGGTATTATACAGACGTTATTACGGTTAACGAGTTTCAAGAAAGCAGCTTTACGATAATACGATTGTGTCGCATAATATTAAAATAATTATGTAGACATTGAAGTAATTACGATTATTTTTTTTTTATTATTCTTTTTGTTGTTGGACAATCAGAGCCCAGAGGAGGACGTTTCGATTTAAAAATAGATCGAAAAAGAAACTAATCATCACTGTAGCCGGTATAACAGTCGACAATAATAGAAAAACACTCTAAGAAAAATAATATTATTCAAATTTATTTTGTTTATCAGCATAATACAGGATATACAGTGTTAATAAGGGGTAAACAAATAAATATATATTTTAAATGTGTAACATCTTAACAGGGTAATTTATCGTGACATAACCAGTTTATTTTTATTCTTTAGATGTATAAATAAAATAAAAATCGTTTGCGTTTAATGTTATTTTTTATTTGGAGATAAAAACACGAAGAAACTTAAAATATAAAATATATTTTATAGGATGTTTATTATTATAAATGCATTAATTAACGTTTTAAGTGCATTAAATTCCTAGCCCTAGGCTTAATATTCACACCGTTGCAGTACGAGTATGTGTATGTTTGTTACGCTTACCTCTCCGGTAGTGGCCACGTAACCGGTTATACCGATGTTGACGGGAAATCTGCTTTCGAAAGGGCTAAAAAATGACGGCACTGTTAATAGTTACCTAGGTCATAAAAAGGAGGCTAGGAATAAATCGTTTAATCTCTTACTAGTGTTGAGAATTTTTTATTTTCTCCTTCTCCGCAAAGAAGGAGAAATAGGAGATTTTACCTAGTCCTCTCGTTGTCCTTTCCCTGCAAGTCGTTCGCTTCCAAGTCGAACACTCGCGAAAAGCTAGCTTTGGACGCCTCATGCAACAGCAATACCTGTTGAATACAATATTACTTATTATATTATATTATATGCCTATATTAAAAACCAAATGATTTTCATTAGTTGATAATTTTATATCGGACTATCGGAGCTGTGCCAATAACCATCCTATGTATTTAATTGTATACATTTTGTATGCACCCCCTAATATCAATAGGCTTCAATACACGTTATATACTATAATATTATAATGCATACGTACACAATTTAAACTTGAAAATATAATATACACTTCCTGATTTATTTTAAGTTATCTTATATGTTGGTTATATCATAACCACTTAATTCCGAGCAAAAACTACCTGAACGTTTGATAAAATTAGAATTTTAAGAAAATCTACTATATTTCAATGTAAAAAAAAATTTTCACTTAGTACACAATTTCATAAAAAAGAGACCAAAATAGGCTATGGTTTATGTACTTTGAAAACAATTATATTTTCAGTGTCAAAAAAAAATCAACAAAATTCAAGAACAACAATAATAATCTTTTAATCTTTAAAATGATTGGTTCTATTAAGTTGTAAGAAAAAGTATGGTGCGTCGCGGAAATGTCCTTCTTTATACCCCCTGAAAGATGACACGACTCTGATTTACAATGTATAATATTATCATCATGGTATTAACATTTTTAATCAATGGTATTAAGTATTAACATGGTATTAACATTTACAAGTACCTGGACCCTTTGACATTGTATAAGCGATTGAGTATGTGTGAGGATTCTAAAAACCATGTGTTCTATTGTGCTCTGTTCTTCGAATATCATACGCGCGAGATCCAGTAGTACCTGATTAACAAACATAATAATAATTCATAAGCTCATTATAAGTATACTAATGTATATCAAACATATAAAATCAAGGTGACCTATATATCTTAATTTGACCTGATTAAATTACGCACCTGATTCCTTTTCACTTCTAGCTGACTTTTTTCGTAAAGCTGAGCGTTTCTGAGACCGATGCCACAGAACTGCAAGTAGTCTGAGAAAACTTTCTCGTCATTTTGAGTGAAGCACGGTGCATTTTTTTTATTAATTACCTGAAAATTATCAAATAACACGATTAGTACCACGCAATATAATGGTACAAGGACGAATGTCTTTCAAAGCTCACTTGTGCTACACCCATTACTTCACCATTGAAGTCTTTGATCGGCATGCACAGTAAACTGTGCGTTTTATAACCAGTACGGGCATCGATATCGTGGTTAAAACGTGTATCCTGAAAACAACAATAGACTGTATTAAAAATGTATTATTATTATATATTATTATTGTGATATAGGAGCCTTGAAAACACCGCAATCTCAAAAGAAGACACTACACCTTGACCCAACATTGATCGGGGTATCGCCGCATCGGGTTTATCAATGAAAAAGTATTATTACTATTTTTTTTTTTGACAATTTATAAGTAATCACTAATCAGCATACGCAAAGATCTAAAATAGTGCTAGCCACTAGGCTAGAGTAGTACATATATAAGATTATAAAATCATACTTTGTAAAAAAAAAACTGACAACTAACAAAAAATATAAGATTTAAAGGCTACATGAAATACGATTAAATTTGATTCATCTTCTAATCTAACCAATTTTTTGTATTATTATTAAATTAGCATTAATATTTTAATAATGTGTAGACGTATAATACTGGTTAGGTATGCTTACGACTTATATTATAATAAATGTGAATATTGTTGCCTGCTTGGAAATCGTATAACTATTGTGTTCGTAGATTTCAGTTTCCCGAATATCTAAATATTTAAATAAGGCAGTTATTTTTATGTTCAGAATGACAAGAAGATTTGTATTGCTTTAGTTTTAAGAAAAACAGCTATTGAGCTATTTTAGTTTAAATATAGAATAGGGGCATTTGTTTGTTAAACCGGTTCTTCTAGTTAAAAATGTACGAGAGGTTAAAAACTGATCACTGATAAAAAATTACATAACTACGATTAACACTAACGGGGTAATAACTTAGTATTCAGTTTTTTTTTTGACAATAATTTGTGTAACATTCGTTTGCACGATATATCTATTCGTAAAAAAATAATAGGTTAGATGGATAAAAATTAAAAACATTGTGTATCATTAAATCATCGGAACGACTAAAAGATATTAAGAAGTTTGCATTTTTCGTCGAAACATTTAATGATGGACACTGTGTGAATTGTGAAATAACATTCCAATATTATTGGTACCTCAAACTGAACTACTGCAAACCTAAAGCAATCATACACTTACGTCTTACATAAAAATATACTTATGTAATGAGTATACTATATTTTAGATTGGCTTTAAGCTTAAATTTAAATTTAGGGTCAAAATAAAATGTATAATTTTGTTCTAACAGTTAGTTCATTGAAAGAAAAACAATAAGTCAAAACGTTTGTGGGACGTTTATTAACCCTTGAAAACTCGGCACGCCCGTTTGCGAACCTATGCCGACCTATATGGTCTTTGTTCGCTACTGCCTACTATAGGTGGGTTACCTTATAAGTTATAATATAACCTATGTTATTATTTAATACCATGTACCTATATTATGTTAGTATAAAATGTTGGTAATTTACCTTGTACGCGTCTGGTATGTTGACTGGCTCGCCGCTTTCAGCCACGTATCCGACAATGCCCGTGCCCCACGGTATGTGTATTTCTTTTTTCTTTTCCATCTCCTGCAACGTGGACCGCGAGCACACGTCAAAAAGCTTGGACACCAAACACTTGGACTGGCAGCCATGGAAGTGGTGTGGGGTAGCCGCGTTCATCGGAGCCTGCAGCGAACCTACGTTGGTGGACCCTATCGGCGACCCAACGGTCAGGCCACCGACGGCCGCTTCTTCGACTGGCACCGTCACTTGAGGGGCCGGCGCGTTGCATAACGCAATAGGAACACGTTCGTTGCACAACGATGATGACGACGGAGACGACAACTGACAGTGCAGGTTACGGTGGCTGCAGTTGTTGTTGTTGTTGTTGCTGCTGTTGTGGTGGTGGTGATGGTGATGGAGGTGGTGGCTGCTGTTCGGGGGGATGTGGTGCAGATGGTTTTGCTGGGGATGAAGGACGGCGGGGCGGTCTTCTGGGTGGAGCAGTTCGTCATTCACGGCCACGGTGGATGCAGTGGTGGCAGATATAGTAGAAGACGTGGCGGAGGCGATTGAGGTGGCAGTTGGGGTTGTGGTAGCGGAATGGTCGTCTTTGCTCAAGCAGCCGACGGTTATGCTAGCGTGCGGTCTCCGCGGGCTGCAAACGCGCTTCGCGGGTCGGTGGTGGTGATCGTGTTGGCACGCCGACAGGCCGCCGCCCTGGACCAGGAACAGCGAACCACGGTCGGCGTTCAACAGTGTGCTGACGTTCTGTAGGATCTTGTGGCACAACGACCGCACGTCCAGTTCATTGCATATGTCTTTCACCTGTAGAACACAATGATAACTGTAGAATATGAAGTTATGGTAATAATTTATCGAATCGATCGAATTCGATAGCTGCAACAATATGCGTCGAACTAGTGTTTTCCTGAGAGAATGACATTTATTGGTAGAAAATGGTAGTATATTAAACATCCAGTAAAATATTACAGATTATGTTCAAAAAGTGACTAAAAAGTTCTATAATCATTATATCTATGGGCCATAGCCCATAGGCGCCCGCAGAAATTTGTCAGTAGGGGCAAATTTGTTTATAGATATAATAATTTATAATACATAAAGTAAAATAATATATTTTTAACTTGGCTTAATAGGATTTTTGATAATGGTGACTTTTTTTTCCGAAAAGCCAGGGGGAAAATTCCCAAGCTTCCTCGCTCCTCCAAGCGCTTATGATTATATTATATACATTAATAGGTATCATGAATTACAAAATATGGTCTTATAAAAACCAATAGAATCCCTAAGCTGCAGTATTAACTATAGGTAACAGTAAAAAATCTCATATTATTTTTAATGTTCTTATTTATTTTTGATTGATTGATCGAACGTAATTTATTTAAGATACGATTTAGATTTTATGATATCACCCACTATTAATTGCCTATTTACTCCACGCTATAATTGTCAACGGTTGTGCAATTAACTTCGAAACATGACGTCGTCTCAAATAATATTATGATATTATATAAATAATTTTATACTTGGAGTGTTTTAATACGTTGGCGTATTTTATAAGATTACAAGTATCTCATTCTTTCAGGAAATTAGTATTTCCTTATAACTAGAATCCTTAATTACTTGAATTTTTATTATAAATATATAATATTTCTGGCCAAATAAAAAATTCAAAGCGGCCACAGATGAGCGACGGCGGCGAAGTATATTATTGTGTACGTGGGTGACACAGACACAAACAAAAAGGAATACCCTGTACAAGTTAATTACCATTTTATGTACGCATGCATACATCGCAGTTCATTAGAATGCAGATCGTGTTGCGTTCCCGCAAACACCAATTGATTTGTATAAATTCCAATAGCAGCGAGGCATTAATGAGCCCCGCTTGTCTAAGGTTTAAATATGTCCAATTAATGGCTGTTTGTATTTGTACGTATTATGTATAATATTATATTATGATATTTGTGTTCTCGGTGATGCAGGAGGCAGCGACGAGATTGCTTCTCGGTACGACACTATTTTGTAGTTTCACACAAAATCGGTTATATTGTTTGTGATTTTTCGTCATTGCAGGGGGGGAGTGTCTTATGGGGTTCATATCCCCCCGGAGACCAAATGTTGTACACAATACATCATGTTTATAATAATGTGAGTATAATATGACGTGTATACTGAATGTCTATTAAAAATTGTGTACCCCCCCCCCCGCTTGAAAAAATCCTAAATACACTACTGCTGCTGACGCAACCTCGATCGTCACTACGGATTGTGTGTCAACTTTCGGTTTATTCCTACAGAGCGTGTCATTATTATATACCTATCTAACATAATATACTTTGAGTATACGCATTCGCCACACTTCTCGTGGACTTTTATCAGGTGAGAATATGAAATTGAACTCATCTTAGAGAATCTACAAACCTGAGAAAGGTACAATGTACATGCATATTATGTATTACCTACATAAAAACATTTTTTTTCCGAGTTCATTTTCTTTTTGTTAACAGAAATGTAATTTTTCTTTGCACAGTTATATTATAAACACGTTAACGCGTATATGTGGCATGTCATTTAGTGGATTCGGATAACTGCACCCACCGTTAGTTAAATATCTATTATACCTAAATAATATCATACACATTAGAGATTCTCAAACTGCTTTGATTCGCACCTCCCGTCAATAATTTAGATTAAACAAGTCAAAACTATAAATGTTATAATGTGTTAAATGTTAAAAATTCTTCAACACAGTTTGTTACACAGTTAAATTAGAAGTTATATTATTGTTTTATAGAATTCAAAACTTCTTGCATTTGAGTGATAATATAATATATTTTAATAGTTGTAACTTGTAAAAACCAACATTTTAGGTAAGATGAAAATTTGTTTTGTAAATTGGCATATATAGTTACTTACTAACTATACTTATCTCAAATTGTCATTGAATTGCATAGGTATCTCATCTATACGTTTTAGAAAAAAATCATATTTAACAAAATTATAACCACAATTTCATTAAATATTTCACCATGCATTATATATAATACCTATTTATTTTATAAAATGTAAGCATTTTTGCATGTGTAATAATTTAATAAAAATCATATCGGAGTATATGGTTATTATCTATTGATTATAAACTCTAATATATTTATATATATATAATACTTTACTATAATACGTCTATATATAATATAATACCTATAGTCTATACTATCTATGCCGTACGTGAGTTTATTATTGTGCAGGGTTTTGAAATTGGAAATAATGATTAAAAACTTAATGTCGTCTAAATTATTATACGATGGAATAAATTGCTTTTACAGTTAGTTATAGTGTAGAGTGCATCGCGTTTTATTTACTGTACCTGTATATATATTGTTTAAAAAAATACAAATAAACATTTTTTTTTAGCATATTTTAAGAAATTTTAGCATAATAAGTTCCAAACCCTATATTATATGTATATTATCGGCACGGGGGTGGGGTGTCAATGTATAGTCTTAGTGAGTCTTACCAACTCGAAGATGAGCTGCTTTTCGTCTAGTTGTCGGAGCTCGTGTCTGGACCGTCTCCGGGACACCGGTGCTGTGGTCGTCTCGTCCGGGTGTTCGTAAGACGCGAGGAATGTGGGTGTGCCGTCCACAGTGGTCACCATGGGCTTGAGGCCACCCCGTTCGAATTCGTGTGCCGATATCTTACGCACCGGTGTGGTGGTGCCACTATTGCCACCACCTCCACCACTGCAGCCTGACGTACCTACGGATTGCTGTCGTTCGATGCCCGTCGGTGTCATTGTCGTGTTTCCGCCGCTACTTCCTCCGCCACTTCCGCAGCCACCGCCTCCGCCACCACTAGCACCGCAGCTACTGGCTGAAGCATGCGAAACGAGCCAGGCGTCCACGATGTTTCTGGTAGCTTTTCTGAACACACCATGATAAAACAAATTATGGTCAAAATTAACTACTCATAAGTCATAACATATTATAGCCTAACCTATGGGTATAATATAATGGGTACATGGATGGACGATTAAGCATTTGCTGCTGTTAGTGGACCGTATTTTATTACCTACGTACATTTATATCAAGGGCTTATGAATCTAAAATTTAATAAAAGTTATAGTATATTATAATGTATTATACATTATATTTAAGTTGGCTTTAGGTTGAGTTGGTTAAGTGCAGGCCGCTAAGTTGACTAATGACTATATATATACTTATAGTAACTACCAAGTAAAATATTTAAGGTCTAATGAGCAGTAAATTGTAAGTAGTAATTTTATAACAGTAAGGAAACATAATGTAACTATCAAAAAAATTGCAATGGCATCTAAAAATGTCTGTTGTAACTATGTACATTGTACTATTATATTTCACGAGTAAAAAAAATACATCGCATGGTCAGGTAATGCACTGGATTACTGAAACATTTACTCAAAGATGCTTTCTAATAGCGAATCTCAAATAAAGCGATGGGATACATATTTTCTCTTTTTAGTATCTTCCAAACATGATGCAACTGTGTACAGCAGTAGACACTAGATACATATGACAGATGAATAATAATTGCTATTCAAAGGACCAGCAAAACAGGTGATAAATAAACGATCGTCATAAACAACCAAGTAGCAGATAGGAGTCTTGCAGCAAGGAAGCTGGGATCCTATGAGTCATTAAACATTGAGTTTTTTCAGGATTTCAATAATTACAACGGTTGTCATTATAATAAAAAACTTTTACTGTACATAGGTACTATACGAAGTGGCTTTTGCTATCGCCTTAAGCGGTATTTTTAATGTAAAAATACATACGTTTTCTAAAATGAGATTTCATACTATAATAATTTTATATTCAAACGCCATTTTCATCGGTGATGGATATTAAATGGCGTACAACATGGTCTAATAATGTCTCGTGCACTTAGTACTAAAATTAGTATCCATAAACATTACAAAATAGATTGTATACCTGAGAAAATAATCGTAAGCGAAGTCCCTGTGCTCGTCGAGCCACGCTTCGATTTTCGCATATTCCGGGTCATAGTGCTGGCTCCTGGCCGACGGACTTTGAGGTCCCGGCGACGGCAGGGTAGTGATCCGAAGCAGTTCTCCACCACCACCACAGGGCTCTACAGTCATTCGCAGGTCCTCTCCACCACTTCCTCTGGTTGACAACCCTGTAACGAAAGGACACAACCACGTAGATATAATATACGAATGATGTACCAACACGTAAGTTTCTTATGCCGAGAAGTGGCGATATCAGAACTGTGTATTTCGAGCACGGTATTTGTATCTGTATAATATAATATATAATCACATTAAGCACAGTACACGTGCTATAGGTAGGTACGTTTATAATTTATATGGGTAAAAATATTAATGGACGCCTTATATTATGGTTCAACCGATGCCAAAATGCCAAATAGCATACAAATATAATATTAACATCTACGATTTCGTATTATTTTTTTAACACTAATATGTACCTACCAACTACTTTATTAAATATATTTTACAACTAAGCGAGTATGTTATATTCTCAAACCAATGTCATCGTAATCACAAACACAGCCACGCAGGACACACTCGTACCATTACACGTAAAATGTTTGAATAAATTGTATCCATACAAAGATCGTGTATTAAGTATATATAGGTAATAATAAAACCACTCGTAACATATAAAAATCCATATACATAATATTAAATAAAACATACACCAGTTTGAGTTCTGAGCATAGTGCAGCGGTGAAAACAAAATTTAATAGCAAGCCGGTAAAATAAGGTATGCGCGAAAAAAAACATTATATACGATGATTAATAACCTTCGATCAGAATCCACATAAATTATACATACGTATACGTATAAAATATGTACCATCGTCTGATCGGGACCGAATTAATTTGTGTGCAGCAGCCCGACAGACATGGATATTTATTTATTATCATTTGTGTCATTAAAATATTGTTTTCTTTATCAATACCCTCGTGATTAAAGTGTACCGCCGGCGAGTATACCGCATTGATGTTCGCATACCTACCTATATAATAATATACACATTTTCCAATAATTATGCAAAACCAATACAAAGCACGATTATTTTATACATATACAAATGAGAGACTGGGAGAGAGAGAGAGAGACAGAGAATATAATATAATATGTAGCGGTCGACTGATTCTCAATTTCACTGATTTTCATCGAGTCAATTCGTTTTAAAAAGTTGTGACAGGCGACAGCCATATTATGAGTGTAAGGAGTATTTGTGGAAACATCATAAAAAGTGTATAATAACGCTATGCTTACAAATAATAACAGGTTATAATAATGACTTTCGGTGATTGTCGGTGCGAACAACAAAATTCAGTCGAAAAAGCCAACCACAAACATACACGTCGCCGTCGCGCCGGTTGCATAGGCCATGCAATATTATAAATGAGACACATCTTAAATAATATTGTAAATGATATAAATAATTTTTTTTTTGAAACGTGTTCAGGTACCTGCATCCTCGTTGTTGTTGTTGGCGTTTTTGTTGTTGTTGTTGTGGCGATATTTGGTTCGACGGTACCGATGGTGACCCATACCAAAAGTTTGGCCCATTGAACAATGCACCATCACGCGGTGTGCTTATTGCTGCACCGCCATTAAATTTCGACCGTTCCACAGGACGTTACAAGGTGACCTTGTCATTGTTGTACGCGTATATTGTCAGCGAGTTAAAGCCAGACGCCACGTCCTCTGCACACGCAATGGCACAACATAATGTAAGAGGGTTTTGTTATTTCTTTAAAAAAAAAACCGACACTCGGGTCGTAACTAACAGAATGCCAGCTCGGAAAATAAACGTGATCTATAATATTATGACGAGTTCAAAAATTAAAAGCTAAATGTCACCAAGTCTCCGCCCATTTATACAATTTGTACATTAACCAACCATTCATGACAGAAATCAGACATTTATATAAAAATGGGGTTTTCATAAATTGCCAACATTATACTTCAATAACTAAATAAAACTGAACATCAAAAACAGGCATACACAATAATAATTCATACAATTTTTTATTCCATAGGTCTGACCTATTTTTAGTAACGTGAGCCTGTGTACACGCATATACATCTAAACAGATTATAATAGAATTGGCCGCACCTGTAGACTGTAGTTAGCCATTGAACTTAAATTATGTAACTTTTACTCGGTTGGGTATATGCTACACTAGAATCTTTATTGATACAAAGATTCCCAATACATAATGACTACTTGAATTCTCGGGATTCCGGTGGTAGGCAAGCAAATAGCATGGTAAATACTAAATGGTAATAAATGACTGTATATAGCCACACGTGCAGAAAATAATATGACGTGGAGGTCGAGAATCTTGTACGACAACTCAGTTGAAACCCCCAATTAGTACTTCTTTCGTAATATTGTTCAAAACTCGTATGTATATAATATTATAATAATGTATAATATGCGTGTAATAATAACGTGTCTTCCTGCTCCGCTGACAACTAATTCGCCGCCAACCTAGTTTTGTCGTCACCCATTTAACTTGACTCCAGTTCGCTAAAGTATTGCTATAGGAAATTATTATTTTTGTTTTTCAACAAACCAAGAAATGTATTGGTTTTACAGTCAAGCGTTCTGATTTATATATACATATATTTATATGGCCATTGGGGTGCACCCCAAGGAAAAAATTGTAAAATTACGAAATGTATTGCATAGTGCCATATAGTCTATAATACACGTTTTTACCGAAATCATCATTTAAAATAATAATCATATAGGCTTATATTGCCTATTTAAAATTTATCAACAATCTATTATATGTTTTTTCATAAAGACACTCTTTTGTACCAGTATATTTAACTACAATTTTTTTGCACAGTAATAAACTAGTATGTCGGATTTCTTCGATGGATTGTATATGAATTAATAATTAATAATAACAGTGTTTTCAACTATTACTCAAGCCCCCAACACATCTCAAGACCACATACAAAATTCCTGGACAGTCTGGAAGGACGTCTAAACCGGAATAATTGGCCCATGTAAAAAGTTATGTAAATTGAACAAACGTTGTTTTAATTGTGATCAATACCACTATAATTTTAACAAATGTACTTATTGTACAAAAAACCTTCGTGAAAAACTCATTAATAAGCTTTTTTTAAACACCAAATTATTCAGAAATATACTCACTACATTCCAGTTCCCACGTATTTAATATACTCTGTAGTTTGGGATAAAATATTTTAACAATAATTTTCCAATAAACACAAAAAATAAAATATTTATGTACCTACTAGTGCTTTTTTCAGACATGACAAATATACAAAAGAAATAAATGACAATTATTGTGAAAATCGGACTATTGGAGTCATACTTGGATAATCATTAAAGCTATTATTCGGTGATTAACGTTGACAACACCCATTGATATTACTTTAATATTAACAATTCCTAGTAAAAAAAATCGGGGATTTGATCCCACCACGATACCACTATACCGCTTTATTTTATTCTGGTATTAATTTTCTTTTTATAACTAATAGATAAACGCGAAGACTTAGGATAGACTTAGACTTCATTTTTTATAATCTTTTGGGGTTCAATGATCCGTATTCCTCCTTTCTCCATTTTATCAGCTTTCACATGCAAAAACTCTTTCACCAATTATCCCGGTCCCGCAATATGTGTACCTATAACGCAAGTATATATGGTATATACAATATGCATACATGTATGGTCATTAATGTATACAAAGTATAGATTACACGCGAACAACGACATCGACAAACCACCCTTTACAGACTTCTGTTTACTGGATAGAATACATCGACGCCACAGACTTAAAATAAAATTCACCTTTGTGTCACCCACTGCATATGTGAAATACTTTGAAGGACCTCGCAAACTGCACCCGACGAGAATTAGACGGACAATGTGCATTATGTAGATTGTTGAACATAATATATTATAGATAAACATACATACATATATATTAAATATTACGTATTAACTGTCAGTAGGTAACAATAATTATAACAACGGCACATCGAACACGCATATTATTAGATGATATCGAATACGAAGAGACATAAACAATAATAAATGGTCAAGTTCTAATCTAGTGAATGAAGAGTTTTCTGATGAGGGTTATCACTTTTCCGACCGGAAATACTAAAGTGCAAAATCTTACCAAACGAAATGCGCATCTTTCGAACGGGCGCGGCGCTTACGACAAACATGCGATATACGCGTATAGTTACGTATGTGGTAACCCAACCCTACTATTTAAAAATAAAAAAATTTAACTTTTAGGCTATGTATATGATTGGTATATAACACTTATTATTGATTTAATAGGCAAAACATTTTGATTAACCATTTAATGCATAATTACTGAACCAATATATAGGTAGTTTAATGTTTACACAAAATTGATTTAGAATATGAATGATGGATGTTATACATCATAATACATATTATTATTTATTGCGGTTCTTACAAAAAAATCTTCATAACTCTGCAAAAATGATAATTATATAATAATTTCGGTTTTCTTCGATCGTTATGGAATTTATTGCTTGCGGTAATAAATTCCATAATGATATATATGCAATATGCGCAATGCGCTTCGAATATTGCATGTGCAGTGTGCACTCAAAATTAATGACTGTAGTCTATATATATATATATATATATATAACTAGTGGTTAGTGCGTATCGTGGGCGTATTTTTCATTATACCGGACTACTGCAGGACAAGAAAATTGATGGTCGATTCGATTTACGCAAACAAAATATTGATTCGATAGTGCGTATATAATGGGATATGTATTATCGTACGCAGACGAAACGTATAATATTATGAATGACGCACAATTATCTATCTAGTAGGTAATAAATTCCATAACGATCGAATAAAACCGAAATTAAATGTATTGATGATAAATTATAAGAATTTATGGCATAAGATATAGTCACTATTTCACTTGAAAACATAATTTTGCATCATTCACAATATTAGGTATAGGTTTCGTCTGCGTACAAAACATAATGAGCATACCGCTGTCGAATTAATATTTTTTGACCATCAATTCAGAAAATCGTCTTGTCCAGTAGTCCAACGCATACCACACCTACGATACGCTGCAGTAGTT